ACACAACAAAAGAAAGAACTTAAAATCACCATTTAAGCAGTATGAATACAGTGAATCTTTTGGATTGTATGCTTTTGCCGCTGAATTGATCCTCAGAAGCAAATAGTAGTATGGTTTTCTGAACTTAAAGGATGTACAGTCAATCCTAATTGCATCACCCAAAGAGGAGGGAAGGAAAAAGCAGCAAAAGGTAAAAAATAAATCACATGCCTTCAGATATTTTATCAAATAAATAAGCTGAAAAATATAGACTACAGCCAGCAAACAATCAAATAAAAAATGGCATCACATTATCACAAGGTAAAACAATTGAAAGAGAAATCAGATGTAAAGTTTCAACCTTTGACTAATGTAAATCAAGACGTATTATCATGACCAGTTCAAATCAAAGCGCTACGAAGATATCCAAGCTGAAAACAACAAAAGCAGTAAAACAATCACAAATACAAAGATAATCTATCTACTAACACTATTAGACATATATAAAAATAGAGGACACAGGAGCTGAGAAAATGATCTAGATCTGATAGAATAACACTAAACATAACTAAAATGATAGATGAATCGGAAAACTACAGTTATAGGAAAACTGAGAAGCAGATCGAAGAATAACTGAGATGTAGTGAAAAAGGTGAAAAAGAAGGGAGGCTCACCGATCAGAGGCAGAACAGTAAGCTGGTGAGGAGGAAGCAACAACAAATAGAACTGATCGCAAATGAATCCACGACGATGACGCTGAAGACGACGAAGACGACGACGGTGAAGATGAAGACGGTGAAGGAGAGTTTGAAGACGACGAAGTCTGACTTCGTTTGAGAGCTTTCATTTGCAAACGAATTTTACTCTATAAACAGATTTCTAGGGTTTTCAAAAACTATGATAATGTAATGTCCTTTACGATAAAAATATCTTTGAAATTTCAGCCGTACTTTTTTTGTTTTTGTTTTTACCAAGTAGAATTAGGTAAGGGCGGCGGCCAATGCGAGTCCGGCCAAGGCCGTGAAAGCAAAAACTACTCCGGCATTTGAAGTCCGGTGGTTCAATCAGAAACCACCGCTGCTGCTGCTGCTGCTGCTGCCGTTACCGTTAAAAACACCACGGAGGTTAGTGATACCAATCAACAAAAGCATTAGGAGCAAAAGAGGTGAAAAAAGAGGAAAAGCATGGATCAGAGATAAAGGAATAAGGAATGCCGATTATGCCCTTTTCTACCATAACACAACACACAAAACTGAAAACGTTTTGTCCTCTTTTAACTGCTTTTGCTTTCATTTAAGATATATATGTCTTTCTTCAAGTTGAGTGAGGCGACCTAAGAGTGGATTGTCTATTTTTCTTTTGTACTGTACCTACTTGCCTAGAAAGTAGAAAAAGAGAGATAGTGGACGTTGGATCTGAGATTGTAGAGTTGGTTCCGTGGCACTATGGAAGGTCGCCTTTTTTGGCACGGATGTGATGTTTAAATTAGGTGGAAGCTTGGATATGATTTTTTGAAGCTTCGAAAAATAAATAAAAAGAAGGCAAATAGATCTCCGGACCACTTAACTTGAACTTGAACTTGATTGCCAATTCGGTAAAGAAACTTACAATTTTTTCATTTGAACACCTCAACTCATATATTTGTGAACTAATAAATTCCTATTTATATCAAACGCACTGACATTTTATCATGTCATATTATAGGACTATTTGTTGCTTGACATGTGTAATTTGTAGGTCCCACTTTTTTTAACCAATTTATCAAAATTTTAATTTCATTCTTTCCTTTTCTTCTCCACGGCCTACTGCATATAAGCCACCGCCATCATACCATATCAACTTTTCGCTCACATCTCTGTTGCCAGCACCATCACACCACCACAAATAAGTCAAAATTAGTACTAAAAATTATCTGTATAGAGACCAAAAAAAAGAGGAAAAAAGCAACAAAGACTCAATTAGTTGTTCGATTCTTAATCTTCCCTCTCAACATATCCTTGACTTTCAGTAGAAGAATAGCATGGGAGAAGATTGAAGGGTGCTTTTGACTAAAAAGAATTGCTGCGTTTAATTTGGAAGTAAAAAGAAGAAAATCAATTTTGAGTTGAAGCAAATGGGAGAAAGAGGGGTGAGCCGGGGAAGAAGGGGGAAGGAGTGTTACTGTTGCTTTTGATTTGAAAGTAAAATGAAGAAAATGAATTTTGAGTAGAAGGATAGGGGAGAAAGTAGGGGATGGTCGGGGAAGAAGGGGGAGGAAGGTACTGTAAAGAAAGTTTCTTTCTTTCTTCTTTATTTCTATTTTTTTTTCTGATTTTATAATTTTTTAATCCAAAACTATTGTACTCACGCTTGTTAATTATGTGAGTTGCATGCACTTTGGCCAGGTCACCTCTACTCTTGCCACATAAGCATGGTCAATGGTCAGAGGGGTTTATTAGTTCACAAATATATGAGTTGAGGTGTTCAAATGGGAAAGTTGTAAGTTTCTTTATCGGGTTGGCAATCAGGTGCAAGTTTAAGTGGCCAGGGGCCGTTTTGCCTAAAAAGAATGTTTGAAGTTGAAGTTGAAGATTTTAGTTGAAAAAAGGGTAATTGATCCAATTATATTAGTCAGAATAATTCGGGCCCCTCAACTTGGCAACTTTTATTTAATTTCCCTTTAAACTTCACGTGGTCTTTAATATCTCCTAAACTTGGTAATTTCATAGCTTCGACCTCCCTGGACACTGACAATCCATGGGAGTGTGACATACGCGCTGTCATACGGATTTTTTTGTATGTGTGGTATTTTTTTACAATAAAATATATATTTTTATCTTTTTAAGTGCACCGACTATTTAAATCATTTTTTTCATGCCAAAATCAAGATAATATTTTTTTGAAACAACGTTATTTTGACTATAATTTTTTATTTGGCTAAAGATAATGATATTTTAATCAAATTACTTTTACATATTTGGTCAGAAAAAGAAGGAATACACAGTTAGAACATATTATCATTACATCTAAAAAAATAAAAATAAAAGTACGTTGTTGGAACTCCATATATTGGCTAAATAAAAATTTTAGTTAAGAATAGTAAAATTTCGACCAAATATTTGCAAATTTGACTCGAAAAAAGAAAAATGCGCAGTTTAAATAAATAGTCATTGCATGAAAATAAAATTAAAAATACACAATATTTTTTTATTTTCGTAGAAAATATACCATTTGAACTTCTTCTTTTATTTGGTTAAAATAAATGGAGTTTCAACTAATTACTTTTGTAGATTTGGACCGAAAAAATAAAGATAAGAAATACATAGTTGAAACATATATTCATAGTATTTCTAAAAAAATACAACTGGGGAAAAATATGCAATGTATATTAAGAAGAAACAACGAGAAATATAATTGGAATAAATAAATTACTATATTTGATTATGTGGAAATTAATATTTAAAAAATACCCCACTTGAAAGCTAATTTTTCAATTTTTCTTCCCTCCAACACGCCTAAAAGAGAGTATATTCACCCTGTAACAATAAATTTTTGCATTGAGAAAAATAAATAATCAAGACTAGAAAATTGCGTAACAAATATAGTATCTGATTTCAATAAATAATTGTAACGACCGGGCATGTCGTTTTGAGTATTACAATCCCGTTCCCCTATTTACTACTCAATTTGTGCTTTACAGTTGATATGTGACTTGTCGGGGTAATTGGTTTGGGTCCGGTGAGTTTTTGGAATGAATTGGAACACTTAGTTCTAAGGTTTAAAGTTTAAGTTGAAATAGTGGACCAGATGTTGACTATGTGTAAACGACCCCGGAATAGAATTTTGATGATTCCAATAGCTCTGTATGATAATTTTGGATTTAGGAGCGTGTCCGAAAAATTATTTGGAAGTCCGTAGTTAAATTAGGCTTGAAATTGTCAAAATAGAAATTTAAGTTTGGAAGTTTGACCGGGGAGTTGACTTTTTAATATCGGAGTCGGAATCCAGTTCTGAAACTTTTCATAGCTCTGTTATGTCAATTTTGACTTGTGTGCAAAATTTGAGGTCAATCGGAATTGATTTGATAGGTTTCGACATCGAATGTAGAAATTAGAAATTCTTAAGTTCCTTAAACTTGAATTGGAGTATGATTCGTGGTTTTAGCATTGTTTGATGTGATTTGAGGTTTTGACTAAGTTCGTATGATGTTTTAGGACTTGTTGGTATATTTGGTTGAGGTCCGGAGGGCCTCAAGTGAGTTTCGGTTGGTTAACGGATTGAAATTTGGACTTAAACAATTGCTCGAATTTTTTTGCTGGAAATCGGGGGCAGAAATCGGGGGCAGTGATCGAGGACAGCGATCAAGGCAGCGATCGGGGGCAACAATCGAGGGCAGCGATCGGGGGCAGCGATCGAGGGCAGCACCTGGACAAAAACATTAAGTTATAAAAAAGGGGACTTCGTCCTATTTTTTATTTTTGACAAATTGGAACTTGGGGAGAGGCGATTTTTGAGAAATTTTCAAGAAAAATATTGGGGTAAGTGATTCTAACTCGGATTTGGTCAATATACACGAGTATATTATTATTTTCATCATTTAATTAGTGTTTTGAGATGGAAATTTGGGAAAAATTATAGAAATCTCATAAAACGAATTATTGAGATTTTGATGTCGATCCGGAGTCGGATTTGAGTGAAACTAGTATGGTTGGACTCATAATTGAATGGGTTATCAGATTTTATGAGTTTTGTTAGATTTCGAGATGTGGGCCTCACGCGCGATTTTTGAGTTAAATTTCGTATTTTGTTGGTAAATTAGTATTTTCATATGGAATTAATTCCAATAAATTGTATTGACTGACTCAAATTAATTATGACTAGATTCGAGGCTTTCGGAGACCAATTCGCGAGGCAAGGGCACATCAGAGTAAGAAATTACACGGTTTGAGGTAAGTAACATTTCTAAACTTGGTTCTGAGGGTATGAATCCCCGAATTTGGTGTTATATAAATTATTTGGAGGTGACGCACATGATAGGTGATGAGTGTGTGGACGTGCACCATAGAAATTGTGATTTGAATAAATCATGTGAAGTTGTAAAATTAAAGAATCATGTTATTATCTGAACATTTTCCACGTGTTAGGGAAATTGAGTTAAGGCTCTTATTAAAGATCATGTCTAGGCTACGTGTCGATATTTTGGGACCCATGGGGTCGTGTTGCTATTGAATTAATTGTTTTAAAAATGTACATTTCACACTCAGTCATATTCGTCCATTGTGAGGATATTTATGGGATCGAGTTGCGCGCCGCAGCAGGCCATATTGGCTTTATATATATATATATATATATATATTATTTTTATTATGGAATCGAGTTGTACGTCGCAGCAGGCCTTATACCCTTCATGGGAGAAACTTTCAAAAATACTCAATCATCTTCTTTGAATTCCAAATCTCTACGACGAACATCCGAATAGGATTTCTGACAACTGTGAGCAGTCTTCAACCGCTCCTTAATGATTTTAACTTTTTTCATAGCCCGGTGCATGAGATCTGGCCCTATCAACTCTGCTTCCCCAATTTCGAACCACCCAATGGGAGATCTACATCTCCTACCATATAAATCCTCGAACGGTGCCATTTGAATGCTATCATGATAGCTATTGTTATATGCAAATTCTATGAGTGGTAAATTATCATCTCAGCTACCTTTGAAGTCTATAACACAAGCGCGCAACATATCCTTAAGCATCTGAATAGTCCGCTCTGCCTGCCCATTAGTCTGCGGGTGAAAGGTTGTAATAAGATTCACTTGAGGACCCAAATCTTGCTGAAATTTCTTCCAAAAATTAGCAGTGAATTGTTCCCCCCGATCAGAAATGATGGAAACTGGGGTGCCATGCAACTTGACTATTTCTTTGATATACAACTGAGCATATTGCTCCACTGTGTCGGTAGACTTAACTGGCAAAAAGTGTGCTGATTGCGTGAGTCGATCCACAATCACCCAAATTGAGTCAAACTTGTGCGGAGTGCACGGTAATACTACCACAAAGTCCATATTAATCATTTCCCATTTCCATATTAGAATTTCTATGTCCTGTGCCAATCCACCGGGCCTTTGGTGTTCCGCCTTCACTTGCTGACGGTTCGGACATCTTGCTACAAAGTCTGCAATATTCCTCTTCATATCATTCCACCAATAGACTTCCTTTAGATCATGAGACATTTTTGTAGAACCTGGGTGCACAGAATAACTAGAAGTGTGAGCTTCAGTCAAAATTCTTTCACGGAGACCATCCACATTTGGAACACATAGTCGCCCTTGGTACCTTAGTGTATCATCATCCATGCCAAGAGAAAAGGCCATGGTCTTATGTTTATGAATCCCCTCTTTTAATTGCACCAACAATGGATCGATGTATTGCTTCTCTTTAACTTCCACAACAAGCGATGATTCAGCCCTATTTTGCACAA